CAACATTCCAGCATTTTCACTCTAATAAAAGCCTTGGATCCGTATCCCAAAGCCCTGCCTCTTCCTCCTGCCTGTTTCCACGTGGCAGGAGAAGGTCAGCCTAAAATCCCTTTGGAATTGCTGAGGATTAACGTTGTTTGGTAAAGCCAAACCCAGACACAAGTTGCCAAAGGTCTTCTTTGCTCAGAGGATTTTCAGGCAGGGACAATCCGAAATTCCCTCCTCGGAGCACAGTAAAGCAATCCCCAGGATATTATTCCATGCTGGGCTTTCATTCTGTTATAATTTCACCTCTTCATAGTTTGATAGTCAGGTCTTGGTGTTTAACTCATGTTCTCACTCCTCCATCAGGCCCCCACAGAGCCACTTTCCTAATCCAGGCTTTCTGTGTCCCTCATCCTCAGCCTGAATTTTCCCTCTTTTCCTTTGATACCTGGATGAGTTTAGAACATGGGAATTTTACATGCCAGATCTTGATTTATTTAATTATATTTTTTAATTATTTTTTTTTTGCTCATTTTGACATTTTGGGTGGGTTTGGCAACTCAAAGAACTCCAGCCTGGGACTGAAAAAATTCTTTCCCTCTCTTGAGCCCTCACAGAGTTCAGTGTGGGTTTGGATGGTCCCCAGGAGGGAAGGTGTTGGATGAGTCCTCTAATCCCTGTGAAACCACCACAGGAGGTTCTTCCTTTGACAGGGGTTCAGACAACAAGCAAATTGTGCTGATTTAGGTGTGGATTGGATGGGTAAAGGATTTTAACACCAGATTTAAGTGGGAGACAGAACTGGCTCCATTCTGGGGAGAACAAGGGGTCAAGGGGTTTCTGGGTTGCAGAATGAAAACCTGGGAAAGACAAATTAAAGCAGGACACACGGGCCACCATTTGAGTGGGACAATTTCTGGTGGAACAGGCTATGATGGGACAGGGAGAAGCCACCAGCAGGTCCCTCTCAGTGGTGGCTCCTGCAGGGACTCGCTGCATCAAGTCCCCTGGTCTAAGTCGTGCAAGAAATAAGCCAAAGTCATCCCATGTTCACCTTTGGATTCCACAACTCCCCTTTCAGCCTTCTCCGAGGTGTGTTTTATTATCCTGCTTAATTGTGCTCCATAAATCTCCTCTGTGCTGTGGCTAAAACGTGGCCTCTGCCCTGGTGGGTTTATGATTTAAGCAGCTGAGAACTCGGGAGCTGGAGGAGGAAAAGGATGTGCCCCAAACGCCGGCGGCGCAGCCATTTCTAAATGTAGGTTGTGTGGTTCTAATTTTAAAAACATCCGTGGTTTTTAGTGGAAGGGATCAGGCAAATGTAAAGATGAGGAAGAGAGGACACAATGGGAAGCAGGGAATGATTTAGGGAAGAAGAGGGAGTGGAGAGCAGCAGTAAAGGGGTGATGAGAGATGGCAAAAGGAGCAGCTGAGCGGCCTTCAGGGCCTGGATGGTCGTTTCCAGCACTTGTTGTGACACATATTAGCTGGGAGAGATTCCTGATGGTTGTGCTGAGCTCATTTCTCCCCAGATCCCTGCAGCTGGGCACTCCTTGAAATGTTTTGTCTTCCCCAAATCCATAAAGGATACCAGGAAAAAAATGACATTACGTTGCCTTTCCTGAAGGGGAATTGTTAAAATTTAGCAACAGCAGTCCCAGCAAAGCCATTGTGAAAGCAGAGAGGAGAAGACCTTTGAGTTAATTTTATCACATTCCATCTCATTTTATAGATGTCCAGTGGATCACACTTCACTTTCTTGCTGAGTATTTAATATCACCTGCCCAGACTTCAAATGGGAATTGCCAAACCTCTGCTGTCCCATCGGATACACCCCCACCTCTGGGAGCTTTTTGAATTCCTGCAATTCCAAGCAAATCTTGACCCATCCTCTTTGTGTTTTAAAGGTCCCCTGGAGCCCACATTGTAAGGTTGTTCTGATGAACAGGTTCTACACCACTGACATCTCTTAATCCACTCTCAGAGCTTTTGGGGGCTGAAAGATCAGGGAGGAAACAGCACAAAACCCTCCCATCCTGACGTGTCTCCAGCCCCGACGTGGTGATGGAGCTGTGGGGTTCATCTGCAAGCATCTGTCTTCCTGATTTTGTCCTTCTTGCTGACAACAACAGGAAAAATTAAAGACATCTGTCTTCAGCCTCATTCAGTGCCCACAGAACAGCCCTGGGCAATAAAGCTGATTTAAGTCTGTCCTGTAGATCTGGTGCCTCAGTTGGCTCTTTATCATCGTCCTTTTGAAGTGCCTGTAGCTCCCTGAGCATCCTCACTCTGCCCACAGACACTTCCCACCACCAAATATCTGGGAATTATCATCCCTGTTACTGCTGAACAGTTTCCAGTCAGAACTTTGAGGCTGTTTGATGCAGGGATTTTAGATTTGTCCAGGCTGAGAGAGTCAAGGCAGTGGCCTGCAGGGTTCATTCTCACCCACCAAACTGGGAGAATTCCGAGGTGATGGGAGGTAACATTTTGGGGCAAGGGGAAAGTCAAGCCTTCTCCACCCCCTAAGCTGTGCTGCCACAGAATCATGGAATGACTAAGGTTGGAAAAGACCTTTAAGGTCATCAAGTCCAACCATTGACCAGCACCACCACCGTGTTCACCAGTAAACCACGTCCCCAAGAGCCACATCCACACGTTTTTTGAACACTTCCAGGGATGGAGACTCCACCACTGCCCCGGGCAACCTGTTCTAGTGCTTTCCAACCCTTTCCAAGAAAAAACAAAATTCCTACTATCTAATCTAATCCTCCTCTGGTGCAATTTGAGGCTGGTTCCTCTCGTCCCTACCTCACACAGTCCCAGGCCAGGGCAGGGATCACAACAGCGGCACCATCAAAGGCAACATGGAGCAAACATTCCCAAAAAACTTATCAACACCATTGGTATAACCCATATTGGAGGCATGAGGCTACTCTGGTGTTGTGGTATCACAAGGATGAAGGGGTTTTTAGTAAAGAAACTCCCCCAAAGAAAATCTTTTTCTCACTGATGTTTTGTCTCAGGGAAAATGCAGGACAAGAACATGTTGGTCAGCCAGGGATCAATGTTGGTCACTCTCTCCAATCTCTGTGGTCAAGCAGGGGCTCAGGTTTCTAACAGGCAGGTGCAAAGCCCTTTCAGAGACACCTCTGCCTTCATTTGGGTTGGAAAAGCCCTCTCAGATCATCAAGTCCACCCTGTGCCCCATCCCCACCTTGTCCCCCAGCCCAGAGCACTGAGTGCCACGGCCAGGCCTTCCTTGGACACCTCCAGGGATGGGGACTCCAAACCTCCCTGGGCAGCCCCTTCCAATGTTTAGAACCCTTTCCATGGAGGAATTCCTCCTGATGTCCAACCTGACCCATCCCTGGCACAGCTTGAGGCCGTTCCCTCTTGTCCTGTCCTGTTGTCCCCTTAGGAAGGTGGCAAACAGGATTCAGGGAACTCAAGGTGTGGAAATGTTGCAGGTTGGAAAATAAGTAGTTCTAGGTGAAACCCTCAAAGTACAAAGTCCACTTTCCATTCTCCCTGGTTCAGAGAATCCCAGAATCCCTGAGGTTGGAAAAGCCTCAGCCTATGGATCCCCCC